CCCGGATGGGTGAATATAAAAAATGAAAATTTTTATACTGTCTCGTGTTGTGGTACCTTCGTTTTCGGATACTCCATAATAGGGAGGCTTTAGCTACTGATCTTGGAATCTGAGAAATGTATGTGATGTTGCTTAATATTTATTTTTTAATGAAAAATAATTCGAATAAAATACGAGTACTTCTTTTTTAATAAAACAGGATATTTTATAACTAAAAAGTTCTAGAAATTTATTTTGTCGTCGGCTGTTTAATTTTAATACAGAATAGACCTATTACAGTATTAAAGAATGCCGAAGTCAATGTAATACATCCGGTTCCTGAATTGTGAATTTAAAGTTAAGCACGTGTCAAGCCGTACGTAAACATATAAAAGTTTCTAAAACAAATTCGTATCCGATTTTTTTAATGATCAATTGAGAGCAGTTTGTTATAACTAGGACTTTATGCCCCGTGAAACCTAAAAATTGTAAGTTATTGAGTACAATCAGTTGAGAAACAAAATGTTTTTCTCGATTCACAAATTGGCCGTTAATCTTTCAGTAATTATTATTTGATTTTTTAAGTGGATTATTATTTTTATGTTAGGTTTAAGAGTCTATGATTATGTGAAGTGTACGTTTCACTTTTTTTGTTCAAAAGCCATAAATGTGTCCTCTGTTTCATTATTAAACTGTGGTGAGAAAGATTAAGTTTTTCACATTAAGTGATCAATCATTTTTAGCTATGAAAAAATGTCTGATTACTACTATTTTATTATTATGGAAGTTACTGTCTCTATGTCCGTTATTGAAAATGTATTGAAAATGTTTTGAAAATGTTGTTTTATATGTCATTCGTCTCAGTGTTTCATACTGCGTGCGTACATACACTATGACGATTTTAATTAGCTCGGCATTTTTTTAGACATACGATTTGATAAAAACATTAGTAATAGATTGGTGATATGAGGCGCCAAAGTTTGTTTCTTTGATTGTTGTATCTAAATGTAATAAATAAATTTCTAAGGTTAAAATCTTCTTAGGTCAGACAGACACATGGATATGCAGTTGCTTGATTGATAATCTTGTTTCTATTATTGTTGGGTGAAAGGTTGATTCTGAAGAGATAAATGAATGATAATTAATATTTTCGTGAAATAAAACTATTTTGAAGTAGGTATATCTCACGAATTATTAACGGTTTTTCGATCTCAATATCTGATCGCGAAGTATTTGATATTATTTTACATTGGTTTAATGTAAATAACCTTCCCCTTAATGGAGGAAAAAAAATGTACTGCCTAATGTTAAAAAAGTAGATATAAATGTGAATATTCAAGTATTTTAGGAATAAAATTAGATTCTAAACTACAGTGGGGCCCACATATTGAGATATTGTCGAGTAGACTTAGCTCTGTATTATATGCCGTAATGATGATACGTAACTGACATACTCGTATATACTGCCAGATTAGTATAATTCAGTTATTTTCATGGTGTAATGTCGTACGGAATCCTATTGTGGGGAAATGCTGCCGACATACAAACGATTTGTGTGCCTCAGAAAAGAGCTTTAAGAATTAAATCAAGAAATAATTAAATCAAGTTATCAAGTTATAATCTTAACATTAGGGACTTTAAGGGAGAAATTTAAGCAAATAGACATAACGACTGTTGCTTTTCAATACATATACGAGAACTTAATGTTTGTCTTTTTCTTATAGCGAGTAATCTTTGGAAATATTTATTCAGTAATGAAAATTCGTCCACTTACGATGGGTAAGATTAAATAATAGCTTATAAAAATTATAGCCTTAATATTATATTATATAAGATTGGATAAGTATTTCCGAAGATTATTCCCTACAAACAAACAAATAAAGATAGAAACTTAACGTCTTTGTAATATTAGGATAAATGAAATAATATCGAATGTTTCACTGTCACATATTTAGTTCTAAAAACCATTCAGAATTTGTGAGTTATGCTTTATAGTAATAGTTTTATTTCACCAATTTATAGGAGCTCTTATGTTTTTTGTTTTCTAGTACACTTCTAGTACAGGTATGAGGATGTGCTGGAGTTGATAAGACTAAATGCCGTGGCCCTCGTTGACGCTTTCGACTTCAGAGACGAGGTTTCATATCAAATTTTAGCTTCATAAATAATTAAAGATGATAAACTTCCATGTATATTACAAGGACGCACTCAACTCTAATCATAGTATGCGACATCTTGGCGAATATTTTAAAAATGTTTCGTGTCATTTTACTATTTTCACGTGTTTTTTCCGACAAACTGTTGATTCCGAAAAATTGGTCGCTTTGTTGGAAACTTTTAACACTTCGTGTCGTAATTTGTCTACACTTTACTTTAATAGAATATCACCCTTTCCCCCTCACCCTCTTAACATCTAGGTACAAGACGATGTTTGGTCGCGCTGTGAAGTAATTTAGATTCTGAATAGTTTGACTAATAGACCAAGGAAATTGCCATCTGAATCTATGTGATATCATGTATAAAATGTATTATTTTTATTTGGAATCACATGTTTCTGTAAGTTGTAAAATAATATGGATGACTCAGCTTGAAATGAAGATTTATTATTATGATAAAATTATATGTATTTCTCAGTAGAAACTTGTTCATTTACATGATTGCTTCTAATATCGTCATTTATTTTCTTACGTAATATGCGCGTGTTTTTATTTTGTCATATGACTCATTGATTCCTAAGTATGTTTTTGATTCTGCAGATTTTAAATATTATCTGTCAAAGACCGTTGTTCAATTATCTGACAAATCTGTTGAAAGTTATCTGTATTAGTATCTTTTTTAGCATATACAAACATGTTCTATCTAACTAGCGGTCTGTTGCACTTACATCCATTAGGTTTAATGACTCCTTTAAACTCTAATGAATGTCAAATTTATATGGGTAAATGGACAATTGTAATGGACGTTTGTGCAACTGGCTGTAAGAATTCTTTTTCTTTTCTTTTTCGATATTCTATTATATTCTTTCTTAAAATATTACTGATATTAATTTTTCATTGTCAGTATCTGGTGTTTAGTAATAAAATTGCATGTGAAATTAATGTAATTAATATCTTTATAAAAGTAATCTACTAGAGCAGTGAAATCTATAAAAAATAATTTAATATTAATAATTGTAAATTAATTTATATATTTTTTTTAAAATTAAAGGTTCTACAGTCAACCTTGGGTTCGTACGACGGTCGCGTGTACGAGCGACTGATGGAGGAAGCCCTCAAGAATCCTCCCAACAAGGAGCCAGTCAATGAGAGCTTCCACAAGTACCTGAAGCCTTTTATTCAAGGGAAATTGTGAAAATTTTCTAATTGAACAACTTTTTTTTCTTGTTCGTTTAAAAAAACGTATTGTTCTGTGATTTTGTCTCATCTCTTCGATTTTGCCCAACACTTTATCAGGATCTAAATAAAGACTACTATTAACATCAAAAGTCGAATACATCGAATAGCAACTATCAAAGTTATATTTTGCCTGTCTACAAAAATGAAATGTTTCGTAATTTAGAAATAATATCATGATTCTTAAATACTCTTTTATTTATGGAGAAAAGAATATCCATAAACTTATATAAGAAATAAAAAGATCATCCCGAAATAAGATTTTGGAAAAAAAGGGCCCTGTTTTAAATTTATTTAATTATTAAGATATTTCTATTAATATTATTAAATTTATTTGTAACGCGCACAGCCTACCTACATTATTGTTATCATTGCTTCTTCCAGTATAGGTTGCCTGGAAGAAAACGCTGTTAAGCGATAAGGCCGCCTATTGTGCAAATGTTTTAATGTTTGTAAGTTTCTCTTTATTTATTTCTGTTGTGTGTTGTACAATAAAGTGTTTTTATCTTTATCTTATCTAATATGACAGTTTTTCCACTTTGATGTCAGCAGAATTTTAATGCCTTTTACACTAATCGTTTACACTAATTTTATTGAAGCTTTGCAGTTTTTATAGAAAACAGGTAGATTTATCATCTAAAACAGAAATGGGGTTGACGATTCAATAGTGTCAATTTACTGTAAATATGTTATTAATATCATTATTGCATAAATGATGTTAGTTCCCTGTCTTTTTGGGTTACTGGAGTACAGTTTTATTATAAAGCTATTTTCCCGCGACTTTGTCCGTGTAAATTATAGCATAAAACGCTAGGTACCTAGCGTTCAGTTAAGGTGAAAAAATTTAAAAAAATCAGACTAGTAGTTTCGGTATTTTTTCTATGCAAACAAACAATATAAAGAATCTTTTTATAATATTATATTAGAATAGATAATTTATTAAACAACATCACATACATTGCTGAGATTCTAAATTAAGTAGCTAAAGAAAATCTGAAACAGCGAAGGTACCACAACATCCAGACCCGAGACAATAAAGAAAATTCCATTGACCGGGAATCTGCCTCAGGACCTTAATATCAAAGTACGAGCTACTCAGCCAAGGAGGTCGTCAAAAAATAGTTGTACAAGTACACAGCTCCTCAATGGACGATGGGCCTATTTTCCCTGTTTGATTCTATCCATAGGAAGTGTGTGTTCCCAGCAGTGGGAATATTAATAGGGACATCATTATTATGATAATGAAGTTTATTATTAAATACCCTCTTGTGGATTTTTATCGAATGATAAAAGAATTTGATATTATACTAATGTAAGAAATATTTAAAAAAAGTTTCTATCTTTGTTTGTTTTCTAGCTACACTTACAAGAGTACCCGAATACACGAGTGACATAGTCGCGGAAGTAGTAGTTATTTATCGTATATGTATATTTGATACTGTAATGTAATGTTTGTAGTTTTATTATATTTTTTTTAATGTTTTATTATAATTGACCTAACATGAAGCAATTAAGTACTATAAATATTATAATTACTGTAAATACTTACTAGTTAAACTACACACAACTAGTTAAACTACATAGGGGCTGTTTATAAAACTAGGATATTGAAAAATAAAAAATAATTGTAAAGAATATTTCGTTTATTTCGTCGGAAAATTCACATGATATTAAAAATAATTTAAATGCAGACTTAATTGAAGTAATAATAAATAAATAAATAAATTCAAACTTTGCAAATACACCAAGATAAGTTATTTAAATTTTATGTTTAGTCATCTTGATGTGGTTGCTTCGATTATTCTATAAGAATTAGACGCTCTGCGCGTTGGCGTGGGCAGTGCCGAAGCCAGAGGTGTGGGCGGCGGAGTTCGTGATTCTATAACCTGTGGTCAATCCTTGAGTCTTAGCGGAAGACGACGCTTTACCGGCTCCTGAACTTTGAGCGTCAGCAACGGTCTTGGCTCCACCGTAGCCATTTAGTCTTTGGAAACCAACTCCAGAGCCCAAGTTGGCTGAAGACTGAGCGGATCCTGATCCTTGAGTGTTCGCCGCAGAGTTGGCAGAACCGTAACCGACAGCGTTCACGTCAGCATTAGCGTTGGCAGATCCGTATCCTGCATTAGTGTTAGCGGTGGACTTGAGTGCTCCGTATGGTGAACCGTTGATATTGGCAGCAGAGTTAGCTGTACCATACCCGCCCATGTTTACATTCGCATTGGCTGATCCCTGGCCGGCACCATGAACGTTAGCGTTGGATTGAGCAGATCCACTACCGCTTCCGTGAGTCTGGGCCTGGGATTTGGCTGATCCGAATCCAGATTGGGTGTTAGCATTAGCATTAGCGGAGCTAGAAGGGGTGTCATACAGGGTACCGAAGCGCCAGTGGATGCCCTTCTGATTGGTAGCCTTAGCAGAGGAGACTGCGCTGCCGTAACCGCTGTCCACATTTGCGTTGGCAGATCCATAGTTAGCTGGTCCGTAGCTTTGAGTTTTAGCAGAGGATAAGGTGGAATCATAGGCACCGTTATTAGCAGAAGATGAAGCAGAACCGTAGCCACCGTTAGCTTGGGTCTGAGCAGTTGAACGTGTTGAGCCAGAATTTCCTTGTGCAGAGGAAGACGCAGAACCATAGCCAGCACCTTGCGATTTGGCGGCTGTTACAGTAGATCCGTAACCAGTGTTGGCATTGGAAGCGGCATAGCCAGCGCCTCCGGAGGTCTTAGCGTTCGTGGAAGTAATACCGTATGACCCAACGCCTCTCTGTGTTTGAGCCGAAGATTGAGCATTTCCGACTCCATTAGAGTTGGCAGACGAAATAGAAGACTCAGAATCGCCATTCATGACAGCAGAAGACTGAGCAGAAAGACCACCGGGAGCAGGTACTTCGAAGTTCTGTTGATAGGAGATGACTGCTGCAGGAGCAGGAAGGGGGTAGTATACTCCATCTTGAACTTGAGCGACAGCTTTGGCTGAACCATACATGGGCGTTTCGGGAACATCATAAGCTTCAGCTTGAGCCCCTACCTCTCCGGGGTAGACTTGACCAAATCCTTCGTTGCGGGCCACTTGAGGACCAACAGAGCCACTGCCGTACGCTTGAGCGCCGCCATCGTTCACACTAGCAGTGCCAGTGGCTTGACTCATGCCACCGAAGTTGCTGCTGTATGCTTGACCGAGCGAAAATCCACGTCCATCACGGTATAAAATACCTGAATATAAAAAAAAATATATGTAAGCAAATCATGTATAAAGGGTGAAATGGTAAATAAAATAAATTAAAGAAAATGACGAATTTAGCTTACCGTTTATAAGGACGGGGCTTGAATGGCACAAGGCGAATAACGCCATCGCTACGACGAACTTGGCCGCCATATTTGTTGTGTTGCTTATTGTTCGGGAAGAGACAGTTGAGTGGATGTAGTGAGAGCATTTCTCCACGCTTTTATACAACGTCCGATTGCCACCACTCCGGCGCACGGTTGACCCAAAAGTATCGAACTTCACCTAGAAAACTATCTGATGGACAGTCGTAAATCTAAGTGATAGATTACGGTAGATTCATACGGAGTGACGTTAATCGCGAATTTTAAGTAATGATTTTTATTTATTATATTTAAAGCTAATAAAAGTTTTAAAATTAAAATCTGCTATAAATGTAAAGTATGGGTTAGTATGGATGATAAGGGTTAGGAAGGTTTATGGGGGTAATGAAATTATGCACTTTTAATTATGATAGTGCAATATTCAATTATAGTTATTGTATGACTTTTAAAATAATACTCTTATATTTATTACGTGTAAATATTGGCGTTTATTACTGAAGTAACATTTTAAAAGAAACCTTTTTGTTATAGAATATATACACAGAAATAAAACATTCAGGCCACTTGGACACTGTTAAATGAGTTAATTTTTGTAAGATATTTTCTAGTGTACGTAAGCTCGGCCTTCATATTATGATCACATAAAAATATCAATATATCATTGTGAATACAAAAATTATCAAAAATATTACATATGAATTTCTTGGTATTACATTTCTTTACGTAAGTTAGATCCTTTAATTAGTTAACATGACTTTCATGATCACAAATCTCGCTGTAACAGAGTGCGTTGACCTTTTCCAATGTATTCATACAATGCATCTATAGATTTGTGTTGCTATCTAAAACGGGTAGACGAACTTCTTTATGGTTTGATGACTCGATAAAAAAGTTAAATTATCATTTTTGACGTTTTTAAAATCTAATATCTTCTTAATTATGTAATGGGTCATTAAAGTCTATCAAATTTCGCGAATAAAGATCACTTTTATAGCCGCCATTTCCTTTATATTAAAGATAATATAACGGAAACGAGCTATATATATCTTATTAACATTAGAATATGTTGCCGTGCCTAAAATTTAATATCGATAGACGAAGTAATAAACTTAATTAGTTTAAAAGCTAATTTTCCAAATTTTATACGGTTACAAAAGGAGGTATTAAAAATGTAACCTTTTTTGTCTTTTTTTTCGTCGATTCTTTTAAATAGAAGAAAGAGTACACTATTATTATATTTAATTGAAATATTTACTAAAACTGCGTACAGTACACGAAATGTAAGTAAATCCAAAATATGAAGTTTTGTGTCGGTTATTAATATAAACACCTGACTTTGATTGATATACTTAAGTTGTGATTTGAATTTAACTGATTCTTAGATAAGGCTTATTTTTAAAATTTTCAAGCTTTTTGAAGTCGGTTTTTTATATTTTTCGTTTTACGCAGGTTTACATTCATGCGTTCCCGGCATGAAGCATTCATCTGCATAAGAAAAAATCCTAATCCTGATAAAGTTGTTTGTACAATAAATATTCATGTTATTTATTGGTTTATATCAATTAAATTTAACCGTGTTCTTTCAGTTTTAGTTTCAGAACCTGTATGATGTGGCAGCGTTGTACTCTAAGCGAGGTCGAGATCGATGCTGAATTGTTTTCAAAATAGTACTGCAGAACAATGCAACCCTAAAATATGGTTGAGCGGAGCGACGGCTGGCCCATGCTTTATGTTCGTGATCGGGTTCTGCTTGTGGAGATGATGCTTACTTTTGTCCATTTTATTTTATTATACTTATGTTTGTTAATACTTATGTTTGAGTAGCTCGGTGGCGTAGTGGATAAGCGCCGCGGCCCACGATCGTTGTCGTTGGCCGAAAAATCATTATCTTGAGCTACTCCGTGCTTCGGAAGGCACGTAAGCTGTTGGTCCCGGCTGCATTCGCAGGCGTTAATACCCTCCAATCCGCATTGAGCCAGCGTGGAGGGTCATGACCTATCCTCCTTAACCATCCATAAGGAAGGCCTGAGCCCCTGCAGTGGGGACGTAAAAGGGCTGATGATGATGATGGTGATGATGTTTGTTAAAATTAATTATTTATCGGTCAGAGTCTGACTTTCTATGTGAATCGATTGACGAGTGAATATATATATATATATATAGTTTTAATTTTTTTATATTTTCCAATATTGTTAAAATATGATGTTACTGTCCATAAGTAACATCATATTTTAATGAAGTAATTTTTATATCTTAACTACTTTGGATGAAATAAACCAAGGAGGAAGAAGCGGCCCTTGCCGAGTTTCTTGTCGGTTCTTCTCAGTACAAGGTCTCTCTACGGCGTAGATTTACGAACCAATAGCATAGAGTTGCGACTTCCACAAGTGCTTGTAACAGCCTAGACTGAAATTATGATTTGATTTGAATATTAAGAAACTGATATAATGCTCTTGGCGAAAATTTCCGTTTCCGCTTTCTGGTTTTTAGAGTTTCGTATCCAAAGATTAAAACGAGAACCCTAATAGTAACACTTCGCTGTCTGTCTGTCACCGCTCTGAATCTCATGAACCGTGATAGTTGCCGTTTCAACAACAAATAGATAATCATGTTCCCATACAAATACCGTCATTTTTTTCTCATTTCCGGTATAGAAACCTTCGTGCGCAAGTCCGACTCGCACCTGATCAATTTTTTTTTCAGTACATAGAAATTTATCTATTTTTTAATTTAGCAAACGCTATGTAAAGACAGACCGAGCACATTTACCGTTGTACCAGCGAACTCGTCGAGATATAAACTAAAAATATTAATTTAAAAAAGTATAAGCTACTAACTTATACATATTTTAAGGTTTTTGGTCGGTTTATTCTCTCCAAAGCAACAGGCTATCCTAGTCACCTTTTTGTCTCCAGCATGGCTAGTGTTTGGGTGTACGGTCATTAATCATAGCTGCGAAAATAATATTCATTGACTAAATCGTGACTAAAATATAGCTATACTGTTTCATTGGCCAGCAATGACTGGACGTTGAACTTTTAATAAATGTATCTGCGTACGTCGTCATACGTATTTAAGCTAGCTTCCTTGCTGAGATAGACACTTTTTTAATCACATTCCTGATAATTCACACCTATTAACTATTATTTATGTGATTTTTTGCATTTAAATCAAAATTTACAATGACATTTATAATAGTTCTCCTTATAATTTTTGACCCCCATAAAGATACACCAATTCTTATTTTAAGCAAAATACAATCCTATTGTATGAGTATAAGTAATTTATTTCTAGAAAATAAATAAATAAGGCAACAACAATAAGCTTAAGAATTTAAGGGATTGGACAGAACACTACTGCCCATTTTTATTAACCTAGAATAAGCTATAGCTTAACTAGAAATCAGTTAATTAAGGTTAGCGTAATCAGATTTGTCGTTTCACAAAATTTGTAACGTTAGTTAATGCCTTACTAAGCATTGGCTTTTATAGACGACGTTTGTCTATGATTTTGCATGCTTCTATCTCTGTACCGAGCAGCAGCGTCAAAAATAAAGATACCTATGATTATGTACAATCGAATGTCGATAGGAATGACATATCAAGAAAAAGAGGGAGCATTCATTTACTTTATATCAAACAATATTTCTGAGAAAAAACTTTCCTTAGGCGAGCTTGTACGATATTACCAATGAGTATTATCAATTTAAGGCTATGTTAATAGTTGCCAAATTAAACACATGATCGATTGTTTACTAAAAACTGGAACATAAATTTCAAGAATTGGCTCTATAGAATGAAATCACGAAAATTTTTGGCTGTATTTTATGACTAATATATTTTATCTTAACTATAATTTTTTTTTTACAAAAAATAGATTTATATGTAATCTAAAATTATCTAAAGATATTTTTATAACTACATTCGTTTCTTTTTCTTAATTAAAAATATATCGATTAAAAATTTATAGCGCGTCTTTTCTTTACGATGCGTATTTGAGTGAGAACGTTAGCGGAGGTACAAGAGCGCCTTAACATAAATAAATATCAACTTTTTTACGAGGATTTCTTCAGTAATAAATAAAGAGAAATAATTGTTTTAATTTTATTGATCTGTATTTAATTTTCATAAAATATACAGCCATATCAATCGTTCTTTGAAAATCATTGCGAAGTATCGCTATCGAAAGTAGTTCGTTTTGTTAATATACATAAGTAATACGTATGATAATACACTTTCGCTGTCAACGTGACATTGTTTAGCGACAAACGACTTTTTCTTTCTACACCCGATGGTTTAAGTTTATTAATAATAGGTACGATATCTAGTTATTGTTTTGGTCAAATATAAGTGACATTGACAATGGCATGGTAGCCCGGGCTCGCAGCGATCCATCTTATAGCTACACAGAGTAACTGCAATTTGTAGAGACGAGCGACGAAATTTTATATAACTTTAACTTATTGATTTGCATGTTAGATTTCAAAATATACTAGTTAAGAAAAATGACAAGAACTGACTGTTATTACAGTTTATTATTAAAAAATATATATCTTGCTAATATATGATAAAGTTATATACTTATTGGCTGTGGAAGAGTTTAATTGTTTTGAATTTCAATGCTTTATAAACTATAACCGTATTTTAGGAATAATTGCACAAAATAAAATAAAGTCCACTGACTATAATTCGTACAGAGATTGATGTAAGACATGTATACCCAGATTTTTTAATTAAATTCCGCTAGAAGAAAATAATTATGATAGCCGAAATATGCTATTAAAAAAATTAAAAAAGCAAAAAAATATTTTTTAGATTCTTGTGTATATGATAAGTGATTTATCATTAGATTGTATATATATCATAAAATGAAAACACTTTTCATGCCTTAAATAATTAATAATTTCACGTTTTTTAATCGACAGGTATAATTTGATAATTACATGTTTTTTAATCGTTTTTTTTTTGTTTTACGTAATAACGATAAAAAATAGTAGTAGTATTATAAGTTCGTAATTAATTTTTTTAAATAAAATCAAACAAGTTAGGACGTTCACTATGTAACCCAAATGTTAATAATTTATTATTTGACCAT